TCGCAACAGCGAACACTCCCATTCGCATGGCGAGCTCCACTCCCAGCATTGTTGATTTTGTTTTACCGTTTTTTTTTAGGGAGAGAAAAGGAGGCTTATTTTCTCTTAACTCTTATTTTGTTCGCTCTCTTTGCTAATCCGTATGTTTCCAACATTGCGTGACACGGCGGAGCGCGTGCTCCAACGAGAGCAGAACGCGAGTCTGGGCGTGAAGTTTGCTGTTATTTTCCGGAGTATTTTGCTTTCTAAAAACTCGCGTGGACGTTAGGTTCACTATTTGGCACTTTAGACCCGTTAATATTTTCCCTGCGCAAATGTTGTTCCGTTTTGACATTGCAAACAAAATGTGTTAGAACACACGCCTTCAAAATTCGCGCCAGCTGCAAAGAAATTAGACCAAAGGAGCAATCAGTCGTGGGAAACTGTTCAACGCCCATGCTTAAATCTGCAACATTTTCTTACTGCCGAGCGATTCAGAAGAGTCGGTTCATCGCACTGTTTCCGTCGCCTCCTGGGGGGCTTCATAATAGCGCGAGAGACCGACAGAGCGCGTGGGCGCGTGGGCGTTCTGGGCGTGTCGCAACGAGATAAGAGGGGCCGAAAGGGAGCGAAGGGACTACCCCACCGGGTCCCTGGTAGGGCCGTCCGCGCTGACAGCGTCGCCTTCCTGGGGATGACAATGCAAGCCAAGTTGGGCTATCTACGGGCCCTGGGATTGAATACCGCCTGCGCGACAGTGTCAGGGCGGAGTCCCTTTCTTCGGATAGGTCACGCTGCCCGCAGCATTCTGCGCAGCCGTCAGCAGCCCGAGGGGGTATGCACTCGCGTCACTCTGTTATAGCACGCGGTATAGTACGCGTAATAGCGTAATATCCGAAATTCTCAAATTTTTACATATTTTTGGGGTCGGGTCACAGGTTTTGAGAGTGCTTACCCCCTCGCAGCAGCCTCCCACGTCTGAGGCCTGGAGACAGACGCCGATGGGCTGCCGACGGCAGGGGTGCGAGAATTTGCGAGAGTGCCCGGTATGAAAAGCGACGCCCATCTCCCTCGAGAAGCAACGCCGAGCCACGCCGAGCCACGCGGCGCCGCCGCGGAGGAGAGGAAACGGACACCTGTCGCGCCCTCCCGCAGGAACCACTTTTTATCCCGCCTTCATCCTCTTCCTTAACCCGCGGTCGTTCGTCTGGAGTGACTCGACTGCAGTGGAGTGACTATGGAGGACTGCCTAAAGACCGACTGTACGTACAGCCTGTGTGAAAGTGACCGAATGACAATGTGAAAATGTGAAGTGACTCTGGCGTGGCACTCTGGCACATGCCCACGCCTACCCATTCCCCGCTGCAGTTCCTTCCCCCTCCCCCCGTGACTCGACTCCGCGTTCGACAAACGGGCCGGCCCCATTCTGCGGTGTTTACGGCCCATAAACGCCTGTCTAATGAGAGCCAGCCCCCACCTGCTCCCCGCCCCCGGCTCCCGATCACTTCCAAGGCTGCTGGATTCAGATACGATAGGGCGACACCGTGGCGTCGAGCGGGCTGCCTGGCAAGGCCGGCGGCACGGCCTGTTTCCGAACAGCCTTCGTCGGCCTCTCTCTCGCTCTCCGACACCGCCCAATGTGCGCGAGAGACCAGGCGCGGATACAGGGGGAAGGGGTTTTTTCCCCCTCCATAACCCCTAGATAGCCGCCTGAAAGGTAGGCCAAATAAGCTACTTTGCCCCTGTATGTAGGCAAAAATTGCTACTTTGCCCCTGTAAGTAGGCAAAAGTGCTACTTCGCCCCTCCCCCAGGCCGCCTCTGGATCCGCCACTGTGAGAGACAAGCGAAAAAAGCAGTTTTTCGAGACAAGACTGCGCGCACCGTCTTTGCAGGGGCTAATTGCAGCAAAGTAGCTTGGAGCGCACCCCCCGATCCCCCTCTTGACTCTCTGTGCCAATCAGGCTTGTTGCGCTATAATCCAGTTTTCATTTTGCCCTCCATGCCGCCCTGTTTGGCCCAGATTGCTTTTCCCCGAGACAAGCCAGGTGCTGACAAAACGGACGGCGCGAGAATGGAACGACAAAACGACGACCAGACGGTCGCATGACGGCGACATACTTTGGTCAATGAGTGGCGACGAGAGATTTCAGGATTCGGACCCCTCATTTCGAGTGCTGTTTTCTTCCGCCGATGGCGCACACTACGCCGCCGCGTTTCTCAACGGTCGACGGAAGGACGTCGGGAAGCGTCCCTTCGCTGCAAACTCCTCGTTGCCCTGCCCTCTCGTTCTAATCGGCTTTAATGAAAAAGGCGTGTTCCCGCCAAAACGCGCAATCTCTGTTATCACGGCCTGGCGGCGTGAACGGGCATTGCCTGGCACACTCTAAATGTCTTACAATGAAATTTGACCTATGTGTTTCGTATGTTACAGTGGATTCGGCGCAAGCATAATACGAAGCAATATTCCTTCGTAATACGAATCTTTTCAGATTTTTCTTTGTAAGATACAAAGAAAAACCTTCGTAATACGAAGAAAAACCACCTTCGTATTATGCTTGCGCCATTTCCTTCGTATTATGGGAAATTTCTTCGTAAGACATTTAGAGTGCATGACGCGGCGCTTTTTCAGATCAAGATCCACTTCCGGAGCGTCATCATCAAAAAGGGCAAATACAAAAATACAATTTGCCGGTTCTGGTTTGCCGATCAGGGAATGGAAAAGCAGCACGTAGTACAGGTGGCCGGCCTGGAGGCCTAAAGGGTGGGGGTGGCGCTCGGATTACGTTACACACGTTTAATTCGCGTGGAATTAGGGGAGGGGTGCTCAGAAAATGAATAAGCCCACTCCGCCCGCCCACTCGTTCATTCGCTGGAGGGCAGGACCTTGCAAAATGTCATCCATAAAAATAATTTTCCCGCGAAAAGCGCCAGTTTTGCTCTCATTCTGGCGCTGCGAACGATGCGAACGCGCGCGGCCATTTGGAATGGCGCTCACGCTCACCGTGTAGCGGTGCAGCTGTCGCTGGCCACCAAAAGGACCACTGCCGGGCCACGGCCGGGCCACACCACGCCAGCTGTCGCGCAATGGCCCTTACGCCCCAAATCATGACTCATAACAACGGGCGCGCGGCCTCGGCCCGGCCCCGAAGCCGCGGCCCGCGCCGCCGCCTGCGCCGCCCCTGACGTCGATCCGACGTCAGATCCACCGCGGAGGCGGACGGGCCGGGCGTCGCCCGCGCCGCCGCCGCAGACTGACCGATGGAATGGCGGTTTTGACAGGCGATGACGGGATCCGATACGGCGGGGCCGCCCTGCTCCCTGCTGGCTGGCTCCCTGCTGGCTGGCTCGGCTAGCTGTCGGGCTGTCGGCACCAGCCTGATAGGTAGGCCAGCCCGCGCAACGCTGCTGCCGGGGCGCGGCCTAGCCTCCGGGCGCCCTCCGCCATCTGCAAGCGAGCGGCAGCCAGGCGGCAGCCAGGCCGCAGCGAACAGCGGTCCGACCGCGGCCCGACGGTGAAGCGATTGCCAGACGGCACTCCCGGGGCTTCCATAATGGAGCCGCTGAGCCCGCGGCCACTCCCCCAAATTAATTTCTGGTGGCGAAACCCTATCGCACCAAACTCAGGTCGGGTTAGCTCTCCCGAGGAGAAAGGCAGCGGAGTCACCACGAACAATGGTGGGGCTTACGCCATGGCCACGGCAACGGTGCACCGGCCGAGGATTTTCTGGGGAGCAGCAACGGTAAGGTTTATTAAGGCTTGCTTGCCTTTCACATGAATAGAATACTCCGTGACCGGGACAAAACCAGAGGTAGAGAACTGAACCACGTCGTGCAACGCATAATTCATTTTGGTCACTTCGACAAACGAGCGGAAAATAATCGAAACACTGGGCAAAAACTTCAGGGAGCCAACAGAAAACCGAAAAAGAAAAATGACTTGTTCAGCCTTTTTTAAAAAGAGGCGCTTTGTAAAGAGGCGTTTCTTTATACAAGACGACGAAAATAAAATCTAAAATTGTGCAAAAAAATTCTTTGTATTACGAAGCAAATTCTTTCGCAATACGAATCATCTTTCTTCACAATACAAATTAACTCTACAATGCCTTCCGAGGCAGATCTTTTCTGAGACTCTGCAGGATTCTCGGTGTCAAAATCCAGTCCGGTGTCCACCGCGTAGCCAGGTGAGCGGCTGAGAGCCGACACCAAACAAAACTGTGACTCCTCATGAGATCATAGTCCTAACTGTCAGTTCGGTTTTCAGAAACCTCAACTCTCAGAGTGGCCTCTAGATAATCCCAACTGTTCCGCGTGGATTCTTAACTATCCCAACTGCTCGCGACTTGAAATAAGCTATCTCTAATTGACCTGTTGACGCCCACAAATGTCACATCGAATTCCTTAACACAGAACTGTAAAAAAAAAATAAGTCCAAAAGAAGGACGTATGGACGTTGTATGCCAATGATGTCGTGATTAGCTGATTAGCTGATTTGTAGTCATAAGCAGTTTAAGTCACCTCGATAGTCCTGAACAAGCGCTGACTGACAGTGGGTGTTGTCTTGAGACCGAACTGTCAGTAAAAAGGGTTGTCCTTAAACCGACCTGGCAGTTAGGGTTGTCTTGAAACCGTTCTGGCAGTAAGGGTTTTCTTGAAGCCGAACTGGCAGTAAGGGTTGTCTTGAAGCCGAACTGGCAGTAAGGGTTGTCTTGAAACCGTCCTGGCAGTTAGGGTTGTCTTTAAACCGTTCTGGCAGTAAGGGTTGTCTTGAAGCCGAACTGGCAGTAAGGGTTGTCTTGAAACCGTCCTGGCAGTTAGGGTTGTCTTTAAACCGTTCTGGCAGTAAGGGTTGTCTTGAAGCCGAACTGGCAGTAAGGGTTGTCTTGAAACCGTTCTGGCAGTTAGGGTTGTCTTTAAACCGTTCTGGCAGCTAGGGTCGTTTTGAAGCCGCACTGGCAGTTAGGGTTTTTTCATCGGATTGTGGGACTAATTGTGGGCAGGTCATGGCAAAGGAGGGACTCACGCATAGCGCCGCGCTGCTGTCGGGTGGGCTGCGGGGTGATGTCCTGCCGGTCCTGCCTGTCTTGCCTGTCCTGTTGGGGCAGATCGCCGGAGACCAGACCGCTGCAGAGCCGAATCTGGTGGTGACCCTCTGGAGGCTGCTTTTATAACGACGCCGATGCGCGGACAGCGCCCTCGGCGGACGCCATCGGAAGCTCGAGCCGCCCCATGCCGCGCGGAGCAAGGCGCGGAGCGTGGCCAGCCTGGCGGAGCCAGCGGAGCCGAGCCACCCCACCTGCCCCGACTGCCCCGACTGCCCTGTTGAACTCTTTCCACAACCTCACAGCGCGGCACCGCGCCTGCTATCAGCCCGGCCATTTATGCGGCCGTAACGCAGACCTACCCCGAGATTCGCTTTTGGTGCGTGGCTCGAGGAATGTTCATCGAGGCACTGGCTTGGGATTACCGTGACACTGGATAGGCTGTGACGCTGATTTGGCTTCTGCGCTAGCGCGTCTGCAGAGCGGAAGATGAGGGGAAATATTTCATTCTTAGTTTTGAAATTAAGTTTTTATTTCTCTAACACTTCTCTTTACAACCCCAGTACAGTATTGCAAACTTAGTTACGCTATCGCTCAACCGCTCATCAAAAATACATTTTCTATAACCAGACTCACAAATACACTGCCATTGGGGTTACAACTGGACGTTTCTTTCCTTGATTGAACGTTACGTACCATTTCTCCAAACTACCATAATATTGGATAAGAAGAAAGATAGCTGTCCAGGTGCAAAAATTACAGTACCTCCCCTCCAAGGGGACTTTGCGGACAAAATACATAATATACCGGCACGAACCGTAAGAAGAAGAGTATAATAAACTACTACTCAGAAGGAAAATTCTACAACATTTTAGATGATCAGAAATACATAATATGAGAATACTGAAAGAGGCTGTCGCCAAAATGCGAATTTGAATATTTCGCTGTTTGTACTACGTCAGTGCACTAAAAGGGGGCGATCCTGATCTCTCAGTTTAACGCAACGGTCTTACAACGACACTTGATGGCTCAAATTGCATAGTTTTTAAATAACAAATTTTAACACCAGTGAAGTTGGGATTGCGCCCCCTGCCTACATCAAGATGGGTCCGTAGTCGTGACTTACACGCTCGTCCTCAAAGAATTTTTTTCATCTTTTTTGTTTTTTGTTGATTTGTTTTCTATAATGAACAAATTAAATAGTTCATTTTGATCAACATTCTAAGAGATTCCATTACGAGTTTACTACGCAAAACTACGGATATTAGCTTAGTAAACAGACATAAATGAAGAAATAAATTTTTGATGCAGATTTTAGAGGATAAATACATCGCTATTTTATGCTGAATCGCTAAAAATTTGGTTCTCGCGCCTACATGATTTTAATTAAATTGACACAACTCCAAGTTAGACATGTACTTGTACTTGTGAAGACAAGAAAAACATTTTAAGTTACTAATATTAAAATAACACGAGAATTTTTACATCGTGATATGCGCTAGCTGGTTATCTAAGATAAAGAGTCCTCATCAATGCACAATGAATACTTCAAAATATCAATAATAAAAATATCATCACAATAAGAACGAAAGAAGAGATAAAATAATGGTCATCGAAAGTCACAGGGTAAGACACGACAAGACAAGGGAAACGGAAAGGCAGGGTCCTCAAACCAATAAAGTAGCTGCAAAACAATGCCAACACTCCTCTTGTTGAAGATTCAATACGCCATAACTAACTTAATTATCCACTGGTCACACTAACTAACTTCCTTGGTCCCGAACTAAGCAAAATTGGTCCAACGACTAACTGAAATTTAAAAGGCAAAGAAGGTAGTACCTTAACAAAATGGAAAATTATTTTGAGAAATGAAGTTGAAAAATACTTTTATAGAGCAATTGTTAATCTTAGAAGACAAGCAACACCCAACTACAAAATATATTTACAAAACTTTAATTTTCATAGGTAAATAATTACTTTATTCATTTAATCAACATGTAATCTCTTAAATTTATAAGACAAATATAAATAAATTTGAAATGTCTAAAAATAACTAACGTCACTCTATGAAGATGCATTTTATAAGAATTATATGCCCAAAAGGTTGGATTAATACATCCCCCAACCCTTATTACCTATAATCTTTGGTATACATTGGGTTTTTAACTGGACATTACGGCAATGAGCCGTGTATTGATACGTATTAATTAATCGACTCTATGATGTCGCTGTTTAGATTTGCCCTCGAGCCATCAATGTTTTAGAGAAGCGGATAGTTATCGCATTTCTATACTGTGGAGTTGTGAAGAATAACATCATCTGTTTTTTTAATATTTGAAAGAATGTTTGAAAAATGTAGTGAGAATGGTCTACGAAGCTTTTCTCGTGCCTCCTGAATCTTCATATTTCTTACATAGTGTAAGACTTCATCCGGGCCAACAACCACAACTACTAACAAAGATAACTTATTAAATTCTAAATATTTAACACATATCATAAGTTTTGAGGAATGCTAAGTCAAATAGTTGAAAATCTACGATGAAAACGAGATTTTATTAGTTGATTGATTTTAAAATTAATCGTCCATCTTTCATCGAGGAATGCAAACCCTTTCTTTCGTAGCAATAATAAAACAATGTCACGCCATACGCACCCGCGAACAGTGTTTCGCTCAACTCGCCAGCGAGATTCAACGCACCACGTCCCTGTTCGCGCAGACCGACAGAGATTCGCAAAATAATTGCATTGACTACATAATCACACGTCTCTACATGGGCACTCGCCTGGCCCTTCACCTACCCAAAACGGACTAGACAAAAAGTAACATAAAAAATACAAGCGACCAGCGCAATTCTCATCAAACACTCATACTGTAGGAGGAAACAAAAATAGGAACGCAGGGGCTGTAGACACTGTCTAGACAGCTCCCTTCCCTTCACACGTGTTTACACGTGTTCACACGTGGGAGTCGCGCTGGAGGTTCATGGCGTCCATCTGGCGCATAATGAAGGTGGCGGTGTGGCCGCGCTCGTGACCCATCTGGTCGCGGAGGCTTTGGTTCTCCCGAAGCAGGTCCTCCACGCGCTGGTTCAGCATCTGATTCTCGCGTTGCAGCCACTGCCGTTGCTGCGCCAGAAAACAAAGAGGAAATTAGCAGAAACAATCAGCGAAGTGAAGATGGCGCCCGAAGACGGCACTCGGTCCACCATCGAAAGCAAAAGGCTTACTGCCAGACTCGGATGCACTCTGCAAACTGACGTGTGTACTGAGTATGCAACTACATACCTCCTAACAAGAACCGCTTACCGGAACTCATGCCGATTTTAAACCGCTTATACCGCTGCAGGGTTTCCTATGTCGGCAAGCGGTTATGAATCAGCATGGGTCTCGGTGCTCGCTTCTCGCTAGGAAGTATATGCATACATGCAAGTACAGATGCATACTTGACCGAGTACACATCCACAGATGCATACTTAGCTGACCGAGTACACATCCACAGATGCATACTTAGCTGAGTACACACCAACAGATGCATACGTTATAGGTGTGAACTCATTTAAGTATGCATCTGCAGACGTGTACTCAGCCAAATGCATCAGTAGATGTGTAGATGGCTGTTGAGTGAACTGACACAAGCACTTCCAAAAGTCTCCTGGCGAATGGCTGCACCAACATATATTACGGAAGAGAATTCGTACGTAAGAACGCTTTTATTTTACCTCTTCGGACGCCTGCAGTTTTTGCTGGAGGGTCTCTACCGTGCTGAGGCCGGGGGGCTCTAGGGGCAACGGAGCGGGCGGTGCGTTGGTGGCGAGCCCTAAGCCCATAGCACCGAGCCCAGGGCCGTGCCCGGGGGCGTGCCCGGGGGCGTGCCCGGGGGCTTGGTGCAGCATCAGAGACGTCGGCGGGGTGTGGATGTTGCCGGAATGTAGGACGGACGCGGACGGGGGGTGCACTAGTTGTGCCACGTCACGGGCCACGTCCGCGAGCGTCGTGCGGTGGCCGGCGCCGTGGCCGAAGCCGTGGCTCTGGAGTTTCGAGCAGCACGACGAAGTCTCGGGGCAGCTGTTCTGCGTGCGGAGGCCTCGGGAGGGGCCATGGCCATGCCCGTGGGAGCCCAGCAGGGGCACCAGCAGGGAGTCACTGCAAACACACAACGGGGCAGGCTAACGTGACGGCATACGTGAGGACGACGGGACAGACGTGACAAGGAGCTGACGACAAGGTGACAACCACTGCACACACCGTGACATCCCACTCACCTGATCTTCCTCCGCGGCCCGGGCCCCCAGGCACCCCCAGGCTGCTGGCAGTGCAGGCCGTGGGGGCCGTGGGCGCCGTGGACGTGGGCGGGGCCGTCGGGGGTCTCCAGCATGTCCTCGCCGATGGAAGAGCCCGCAGCAGAGCCGGGGCCCGAGCCGTGCCCCGAGCCGTGCCCCGAGCCGTGCCCCGAGCCCTGCGAGCTCTGCGACCCCTGCGACGCCATGGACGTCACCGAGCACTTTGGGCTGGGCGGCGACGACTCGCTCTCCGACACGGAGGACTTCTTCTTGCGTCGGAAGCGGCGGCGTGCCGTGCCGGCGTGCGAGGAGGACGACGAGGCGCCGTCCTTGTCCTTGTCTTTGTCCTTGTCGCCGTGCTGCTTGGGCCGGCACTCCATCACCACCAGGTCCTTGCAGTGCTTGTGCGCGTTGATGCCGCAGTCGCGGCACTTGAAGCCTTGCCGGATCAACCCCCACAGCTGCGGGGACGCAACCAGCTTAGCCCTCGCCGCCACCGTACTTCACCAAACCACCGTGCCGACACTCAGTCAGACCATCTCCGGAGCGCAACTTACCAGGCCGGCGCAGTGCGCGCAGAAGGTGGGCTTGAAGTACGTCGTCTCGTGGAAGCCGTGCTTGAAGCCGTTCTTGAGGCTCTTGAGCGCGTGGCAGTTGGCGTGGACGAAGTACTTCATCATCTCGTCCCGGCTGATCATGCCGTCACTGGAAATGCCAAGACGGGACCATTAGACTTGCCGAACTGAGGGACATGTCGTGGTTGCCACGAGTGGCAATGACTCACTGGTCGGCGTCGAGCACGCAGAAGGAGGCGATGAAGGGGAAGTTGGTGTTGACGGAGTCAAACTCCTCCCTAGAGATGTAGCCGTCCCGGTCGTTGTCGTAGTGCTTGAACACGGCGTCCACCATGGCGTGGACGTGCTTCTCGATAGTGGCCGTGTCTGGCGGCGAACACGGAGCGCACGCGAACTCAGCGAACACGTTCGCCCGGGCTGCCAGCGTCGTCGGGGACGTCGGCGGCTGCAACACCAAGGCGAGTTCATTCATCAACATCATCATCATCACCACCACGATCATCATTATCACCATCATCGGCGCTGTTAGGCCGCGCGTCACGTCAGGCGTGGGGAGCCGCGCGGATGTCTCTCTGCGAGTACCCCACGTCGCGACGCGTCGGTCGCGCCCCCGGAGTAGGGCCAGGGGGGCCAGGGCCGCGGACGCTACTCCGCGTGGGAAGGGCTCCCGGGCGGGGGGTATGTCCGCCGCGTGACTCCGGCGCCGGGCGCTCTGTGCTCTGTGTGCGCAGAGTAGAGCCGAAGCAATTGATCGGCGGTTGAGGGGGCCTAGGGGACCGAGGACGCGGAGACGCGACGGCACGCTGCGCAAGGCGAGGCGCGAGGCACGTCGACGCCGCGTTCTCGGCGACACCGCTATGCGCCGCTATGCATAATCCCGAGAACAAGGTCGGCCCGGGCCGCGGCGGTCTGGCGGGACTGGCGGATGGCGACATGCTGCCCTGTCAGGCACCCAGACACCTACCGACGACGAGTTCCTGGGCTCGCGGGCCAGCGACAGCTCGTAGATGTCGTCCTCGGTGTGCTGCACGTCCAGCGAGAGCTGCAACAACGACACGTTCCTTGAGTGGCTGCAAGGCGACACGGCGTGCGGGGCGTGGGCGGGGCGCAGGGCGTACCCGCAGCGTGTTGACGACGTCCATGTGCGCGATGACGGGGGGCGTCACGTGGGCCAGATCTTCCAGCTCGGCCACGATGGGGGTGAGCTGCGCCATCTTGCGGACGTTGATGTAGTCGCCGGGGAGCAAGTCGGGCAGGGCCGCGTGGATGGCGATCATGTCCTTCAAGTGGATCCCACTGCGAAAGAGAAAAACACTTTTAATTGTATTTTGTTCTTAAATCCTTTTTGAGTGAAAAGTAATGCCTTCTTCTGTGGCCGCCAAACTTACAGGATGGGTATCTTAAAGCCCTGACAGTCGTGCAGGGCGCGGCGGTAGTTGCTAAAGTTGGACGCGGAGGACAGCAGCTCGCTGAGCCCCTCCAGCGCGCGGCTGGAGGCGGGCTGGAGACAGGCGTAGGTCTTGGAGAGGCGGGCCAGCGCCGAGTGGCTCAGGCTACCCACCACCGCCATCAGGGAGTTGTAGTTGTGCAGCTGCTGCAGGCACTGCAGCCGATCGAAAGCGTCAAGCGCGTCAAAGCCTCCACTCGAACTTTCCTGGACCTGATTGGTGATTGGAGCCGGAAGCCTCACCTTGGCCACGTTGATGTACTTCTCGATGACCTCGGCGCGCTCCTGCGGCGTGGTGCGGCTCAGCACCATGCACTGCACCCACTGCGTCAGCCCGTTGAACAGCGACACGGAGCGCTCCAGGCGCGGCGCGTCCTGCAGCCGGCCGCTCACCGCGTAGAGCTTCAGGTCGTGGAACTGTGCAAAGAGAGAGAGAGGTCAATCCTCAATCCACAATCCACGGACAAGCGAAACCGCGAGTCGAACGACGTTACCAGGCTGCCATCGGCCGAGCTGAGCGAGAGGTTAATTCAATATTGTCTAAATAGTTTAAAGGCTGGTCCGCGCGGCGGTCGGGTCGGGCCCCGGGCCCGTCTGATCAAATCAGGCCCGAACACGATTATGCCCCGGAGAGGACAATAAATGTGGGACCGCCAAAGTGTCGTGGGGCCTGAGTGCTCCGCTGGCTCCGCTTGCTTCACTCCGGGGCGGTCCAGGGCGGTCGGCCGGGAGGGGAGGGGAAGGGGAGGGGGAGGAAGAACCAGTCCACGCCACAAACTTGCAGCCGGACAAACTATCGAGACACTCTCGATGGGGGTGGCGGGGCGGCGACCGCACGCCAATGCATGCAGGAAGGGTCTAAAGTGCACGCCGCTGGTGTCGGCCAGCGGGCGGGAGGGGCGCCCAGTGAACCCCAAGGCCGGCCCGCCGCGCCACTCTCGGTTGGGGTGGACGTTGTCGAGATGGCACTCACTGTGATCCTTCGGATGACTTTATGCTCCAGGAACGTGATGTGCTCTGCCAGCTGCTGGGCCTCCATGTGGTTGAAGACGAGCGACACACGCTCATCGTGCGGAGTGCCTGACTGCGGCAGTGCCTGTTGGAACTGCTCGCTCTGATGTGGCTGCTGCTGCCCCGGCCGCACCGAGGGGTTGCGCATCCAGTCGAAGCTGGGCAGCACGTTGGTGTCCACCAGCCCGCCCCACTCCTGGGGCACCTGCATGCGGAAGTCCTGCACCACGAGCACCAGGCCGGGCTCCACCTCGAACTGCAGCGGGAAGTTGGCCATCCAGTACCTTCAAACAGGGATTGTATTATAGGCACGCTCCAATGAAACAACCAAGTTGTGCGTTGGTCGTATGTTGATAAATGTGATCAGAGAGACAACAAATGAGGGGCAAATGGCAGCCCAGACGACGCCCACCTAAACACGTGGCAGACTTGCAGCTGCTCCCTGGCCACGCCACACGTGGCCACGTCCTTGGAGCGGTGCGCGCAGGCGCCTTTCTGGCATTCCTCCTTGGCGACGTCCTTGTACGCTTCCCCCAGCAGCGAGGCGAGGTTCGCGGCCGAAGTCCACCAGCGGTGCATCACCAACACCACGCGCGGCAGCTGGAAGGCCGCGGCCGACACCGCGCCGTCCACCTCTGCGAGAAAGACAAGCGGGACGCTGGGTTGAGGTGAGGTCCTCGGGGTCGGTAAGCACAGCACCGAAAGACATGGCCACGCACCGAAAGAGTGGATGAGCAGCTTGACCAGGGCGGGCATGGTGGCGCCGCGGACGGGCACGCCGGCCACGGCGGTGCGCTCATCCTCTAGAAGCAGGCCGGCCTGCTCCAGGGGAGTCCAGGCCGGCCCCGCCGGAGTGTTGGAGGCGGAGCTGGCCCGCGTGCTGGGCTGCGTGCTGGGCTGCGTGCTGGGCTGGCTGCTGGAGTCTGGAGTCGTGGCTGGGGCTGGAACCGGCGAGGCAATCGTTCAAGTTCAAGTTCAATTAGTGGCAGGGTGGCTGGCGGCTCGGCGGCGGACACCGGGACTCGAGCGGCCGCGCCGCACCGTGTCCGCTGCGCGCTGTCCACTGTCCGCCGCCTGGCCCGCCCCATCCATCACAACGCTCACTCCGCTCACTTACCGAGCTCGCCGTGGGGCTGGCCCGCCTGGCCCGCCTGACCCGCCTGACCCGCCGTGGCGCCCGGTTGCCGGGACGGCGATCTGGCGTGGAGCGACGCCGCCCCCGGACCGCCCCCGGCGCCCCCAGCGCCTGCAGGGCTGCCATGGCCCGCGGCCGGCCGCTCGCTGGAGTGGCTACGGCCTGGAGACGACCCCTCCTGCAACACGTGCGCAGATGGTTACTTGGTTACGGGCGTGCTGGAAGGCAGGAAGGCGCCATTAGGCAGCCAACGCCGTTACACCGCTACACCGTGAGCGAAGGGCAGCCTTCTCCCCTTTACTCATGGCGATCCCATATTATCCGCCACGGCCTGCCTTGGGCCTGCGGGGGTGGGGACCATTCTCATTCTTGGGCGGAGAGCGGAGCGGAGATGGGCGCGAAACCCGATTTTCCTTTGTCTCCGAGTCCCTGCGGCCCTGTGCGGCCCTGTGCGGCCCTGTGGCCAATGGCCGTCCTACGGCTTCAACTTTTGTATTTCTCTCTTTCTCTCTCCGATGCCCACCGTTTGATTTATTGGCGATTAAATTCGATCGACGTTGCTCCTCTAGAATGAACCCTCCACCCCGGGCCTTTCCCCGGGCCGGCCGCAGGCAGCGAGGAGTGTCTCTCGCGAGGCGTGCCGCGTGCCGCGTACGTGCCGCGTGCCGTCAGTGCGGCAGGGCCTGGCGCCCCGGCAGCCCCGGCAGCCCCGGCAGCGGCAGGCACGGGCATGGAGGGAGGGGAACTCAGGGGGAGGCCCGGACCCGGAGGGCCCAGACCCAGAGGGCCCAGAGGCGCGTGGCGGGGCCGTGGGGGCGGCAGGAGGCCGGTGGGGCACACTGGCGCACTGTACAGCCGCACGTCCCGCGCCAATCGCCACATCAGTTGAACCCTTTCTCGTCTCCTCTCTCGACGCGCCATGCCTTTCGTGCAGACCGATTCCGGGATTTTCGTCGCTCCGTCTTTCCGCCACCTGGACGACGCGAGATGCGAGAGAGACAAGGCGAAGAAAGAGACCCTCGGAATCAGTCTGCTGGGCACGTGGAGGAGCATTGCAGAGCGACTGCAGCACGCGGCCCGCGACGCGGCCTCCCGAAGCAGGGCACCGTCCCAGTCAAGTTTGCGCGGCACTCGCAGATCTCGCCTCCACTTGAGTTCGGGCACGAGTGCTCCAGTTCTCAGAGGGCGACCTATTGAAATAGGATCTAGGAAAGTTCAGCTTGCCCACGAGGGGTCGACGTGCGCTTTCTTCAATGCCGAGGAGGTAAACACTCGTGCAATACCCTGTGCACAAAAACCGTGTATTACGCGTTATACACGTAATTGTTGTACCACTTTTGGGGCAATTGTGCCAAATTTTGTCATTTTAATGCCGTAATACAGCGTAATACCGAGTACTCTATACACGATTAAAGCCCTCGTTTAAAGCACCGGCCGGTTTTCCTCGTTGGCGGCGGTTTTTAGCAGATGATACCTTTACTTAAAAACATACCTAAAACTACAAGACACACAAAGGTGTCAGCTAGCTTTTACTCGAGAGTCCAGAAACCAAGAAGTGCGTATCCTAACAATATAATAGGGGCTGGCTGCCGGGGCGGGATGGCGCGTCTGTGGCTGTCTGCGGCGCAGCCTGCGCGGAATTCAACAATCCCTCCCCGGGCGAGGCGTCAACAATGGCACCCCCTGCTCGCGCGCGGCGGCCTGCGCGCAACATTGACAATTCCTCCCCGCCTACAGCGCAGAGGCACCAGGCGCTCGCAATCCAACGGGCACGGCGCGGCGGTGCAGGCCACAGCGCAAAGGACTCAGTTTTTCATACACAATTTTAAACACTATCTTTAGAATGAGCCCGCATATTACCCCGTATAAGAAAACCAAACGAGTATCATCTGCTTTCATTTACGTTCGTTGAATGATATTTTTTTCGCCAGGACGGGGGCCGGGGGCAGGGCCGGGTGCAGGGCTGACTGACGGGATGGAATAAGGGGGCGGGGGCACCGTGGGGCACGGGCCGCCGCGCGCCGCTGCGCTCCGTACACGAAAAGGAAGAACGAATTGTGTGCCGCCGGGCTGTTGAGTATTTCTCTCCCCCGCCTGCCTCCAGGCTGCCCCCCCCCCTCTCGCCGCGCGCCCTCCCCAAGCTACGCCCCTGTAAGGCAGCGGGCCCGGGGGCGGAGGGGGGGGGGGCTGAGGGGCGCAGGGGTGCAGGCCTGGGGGGAGTGGGAGGGTGCCGAGGTGCCGAGGGCTACGCAGGCTGGCGTTGCCATGGGCGTGCCCGGGGCCCCACCGCGGCCCCGCCGCCCCGCACTCCCTACCCTCGTTCCTCGTTTCCCTTCCACCAAATCCAGCTAGAACTTGCCCCCTCCCCCTGCTCCCCCTGCGTCCCCGCTCCCCGCCCTGGACCTGAGGAGGCGGGGGGAGGGTGTAGATCGAGCTGTACTCAGATGGGGTGGGTGGGGCCGTGTTCAGCTGCGCCAGACAATTATTACTGACCAACGCCGCCCAATGCCCTGACGGCCCCGACGGCCCCGACGGCCCACGGGCCACGCGTGCAGCCCGCCTGGGGCACTGTAGGGGGTCGTCCTCCACACATCACGTAGGCTGTTCCATAACCCAGGTGTTGCCGGTCCTTGCCGTCAACGACTAATTATGACAGAAACGGACGGTATTACGTGGTGGACGCGTCGGGCCTGCAGGGCCTGCAGGGCGCGGCAAACTGGACAGGGGGCGGACAGGGGTGGACAGGCTCATAAACGTGGCTGCAGAGGCCGCGGGTCGCCTTTCCCTTTTCGGAATGCCCGTCGGAAATGGCACGCGAGACGCGTCTCGCCGGGATGGTTATGAGAGCGGCTCAGTGTCGCGAGCGGAGGAATTTGGGCGCGTTGGCGCCCTCCGCGCCCCTCGGTGCCCCTCGCCCGGACCGGCCGCGGCGAGGCGGCGGTGCTCCAGCCTCGGCTTCGCAGCCTCCCCCGGCGCCTCTCGCCTCGCGCCTCTTTGCCACGCGCCACGCGCAGCCGGCAGCGGCCACCCCCCGCCTCGCGGGCTGACCACAACTGGACGATCTCACGACTGAATCCTCCCGAGCAAACTTTGCTCCATGCGTCGCATCGCGGAATGGGATGGACGGGGGCTAATCCAATCATCCTGCCTCCAGCACAGTCGGGAAAATAATCCGACGTGGCCCCGGCCGCCGCGGCCGCCTCGGCACAGCAGGCATCACATCGCCGGGCGAGCGATTTCGGTGCAAACACGCGGGTCTTTTTCCTCGTCCGAATCTCGGGTCCTCCCGAGCAAACTTTGCTTCGTGTCGCACCGCGACAGAATGGACGGGGGCTAATCCAATTTCCTGCTTCCAGTCGGAAAAAACAATGAGACTTGGCATCGCCTCGGCACAGCGCCACATGCGGGATGGCCGTGGGAACGATTTCGATGCGAACACGCGGACCCGTTCTCCTCGTTGAAATCTCTGGTTTTCCACTCACAGCACTGCGCACTTCATTTCAATTTACCGTTGGGCGACTTCGGCATTCGCGTCTTCGACACTGTCTTAAGAGTAAGAGCACCGCATTGAGCAACAATCTAGTTCATCTCTTCGTTTGAATTGCTTCCGGCGGAACATTCATGGTGATCGAGGTGCTTGTAATACAGGTGAAAATGATCATTATGTAGGTAAAAAGTTGCGTTGGCCGTCGAAACGCGTCGAAATCAGCCCGGGATGCCGAGGTCGCCCCAGTTTGCAGCACTGTGCAGGCCTGAGTGATGCAGGCCTGTTGGCTGTGAGTTGTTTTGCGGGGTTGTTCGGGGCTTGGTTCGGGGATTTTAGAGGGCAAAGTTTTCGAACAAGTTGAAAAAAATATCTGCCTCCACTCTGCAGAGTGTTTGCGGCGACGATGCGTGCTGCACATTGATGGAGCTTAAAAGTACGCGCTCATGCAAAAAACGGCGAGCACAACTTTTGCAAAAAAAAGTTATATCCCTGATGATGGGGGCTGCATGCAATAGTTTTTGTGCGCCAGCCTGCTGCTCTGCGAGGAACGATAAGGGGCCGCTCCATTGGTTCGACACACTCGCCGGAGTCTTTTTCTCTCTCTTTTGTCGCCATTTTCCCGTTCCTTTTTGTATTTTTTTCTTTTTTACTTTTTTTCTCACCCTTGCTGCAGCACCCGATGTGTTCTGGGACGGCAAAAAAAACGGTTCGCGCTTAATCTTATTCTCCCAGCGAGTGGATGAGAGACAGAGGCATGGGGACGACGCTTTAGCATTCGGCACGTCGGCACGGCTCACACTTTTCCCTCTTTTTCCGGTTCCAACGCGGATCATTATTCCGTTGCACGGGCGACGGTCGCTGTTGTCTGCTCCGCTGCGCTCACGGCCGCTCGGCCCCATCAGTGCTGGACGGCTGGAAGTTGGAATAACGACTAGAGAGCGAAGAGGCGAAGCCCGATCGGGGGGGAAGGTGATTTGGACTTGCTCCAGGCGCGTCGCGCGCCGCATCGGGCACGACGAGGGCCATCGAGAGATCGGTCTGATAATGTGATACGGACAGATACCGAGGGACTATCAAGCGGCCTCGCCCCGACCTTGAACCATCGAGATACGCAGCAACACGTGCTACAACACGGCCGGCTGCCAGCAAAGTGAACGGAGCGAGCGGAGCGAGCGAAACGAGCAAAAGGAGCAAGGCAAACAAGGCAGGCACCCGTCAGC